TATGTCCATAGATGGCCAAGACCTGCCAAAATTCCATGGGAGCATATTGATACCAGCAATTGGAACCCAACCTGTTCTACCAGCTTCACATCTCAGCAAGATCCTACAGTGTTTTTGCGAAACTGGGCCCATGATTTTGAACATGCGTTAGTACAACATGCCACTGCCACTGGTGGATTCACTTTACCAAATCGGTGTCAAGGACGTGCTCAACGCCTCACCCCTGTGAAGCAGACTCTTTCTACACCAACATGCAAAGCCAGCCGTGACGGTGAAGTTCGCATCACCAACTCTATGGCTGGTACTGCAACTAGGGTTTGGTTCAAGCAGTTGAGAAGGCTTCAAAGCTTGAAACATGCAGTGCAGGCGGCAAAAGACACACCTGCCGCGATCACATACAGGATCGAGCTCTGGAATGCCATCAAGAGGTCCCAGGGCTTTGTGCCAAATTTTGATACTTGGTGGAGCTCAAGGACTCACCAGATTGCCGGGGTTCCTCAGACATTGCCCCAGGCAGTTCCACTCGAATCGACAGTGGTGCAGGCCATCTATGATAGCTTCTTGCTGCACTTTCGGGCTTTTGAGGCATGGCACCTCAATGAACGTTCCAGAAGCCTGAAATCAAAGTATGAGGGATCTCTTGAGGCTATCTACATGGACCTGCGCCCTGATCCACGACCGGGAGTCCAAACTCTCTGGAAAGAGGAGCACTACACCATTTTGGCTGTAGATGCGGAAAGCCAACAAGTTCATCTTGACAAGGATGTACAGCAACATGGTGATTCTGTTTGGCTTCATGATCAGCACATGCTCAATGTCATCACTCATTCTGGAGACATTTGCACAGTTTCGTCTTCAGAACATTTGATGGTTGGGGATGAAGTTACCCAGAGGATTTTTCTGACGGGCGTTTCAGACATACTCCAAGCTTTTGAAGCGCACTGGACACCAAGGTGGAGCATTCTGGCGCAAATTCCTCCAGCTGACTGGCAGCGCATTGTGGACTTTGCAGGTCACTATATGCCATCCTTCAACTTTCAGTGGGAGGAACTCAGTCTGCCTAGTTGGAGAGCCATGATCAGAAAATTCAAGCGTAAGGCAGCTCGAGGCCCTGATGGATTTTCTGGTGAAGACCTCAAGCATATGCCGGATGGATATGCTCAACCTTTGCTGGACTTGCTTCAATCCATTGAGCAAGAGGATACAGCTTGGCCTCAACAGCTGGCCTTCGGCACGGTGATCGGGCTGAGCAAACAAGATGGAGCGCATGAAGAAGGTCACTTCAGACCGATCACCTTGTTTCCAACAATTTACAGAGCCTGGGCAAGACTGCGCACAAAGCAGATGATTTTGCAGATGTCCAAGTATATTCCACCTGAAGCACTGGGATTTCTACCACAAAGAGAAACCACCGAAGTATGGATGATGTTGCAGGCACAAATCGAGTTGATGGTTCAGATGCACATGGACTATGCTGGACTTTCTACAGATTTGAAACGTGCTTTCAACCACATAGGCAGGAACCAAGTTTTCCTGATTGCGAGGCATGTTGGATTGCCACACCAACTGTTGAGGCCTTGGCAGAAATTTCTCAACAACTTTGTGCGTAGATTTGATGTGCATGGATGTTTGGGCACGGCACTTACGTCGTCATCAGGTTTTCCAGAGGGATGCCCTCTGTCAATTCTGGCTATGCTCAATGTTAACTGGTGTTACCACATTTACATGCGAGCGTTTTGTCCAACAGTGGTTGCATACAGTTTTGTAGACAACCTTACTTTAGCAGCACGAGATGCACTTGCAGTGATCCATGCTTTTTTTGCTCTACAGTCTGTTTGCCTGCTATTTGGCCTGATGACGGATGCATCTAAGACGTACGTATGGGCATTGTCTAAGTCATCCAGGGCATTGATTGGACAGCTGGGATTTGAATGTGTCACTGATGCAAGTGAACTTGGTGGTGCAATGACATTTGGCCGCAGTCGGCGAACTCGATTGTTACGCCAACGAGGTTCCAAATTGCATGCCAGGTGGACGAAGTTGAGACGCTCCCAAGCACCTGGACCACAGAAAATGTCAGTGCTATCTAAGGTGTTTTGGCCTCAAGCCCTGCACGGCTCAGCCAACTGTCTCATTGCTGAGACTTACCCCATGGAACTGAGACGTGAAGCCACCAAAGCACTTGGTATCAATGGAGCAGGAGTCAATCCAGTTTTACGCTTATCACTTGCGGATGACATGCGTAGTGACCCAAGTTATTACCAACTCCATCTCTGCCTTTCGACTTTCAGACGTATGCTGCAGAAAAGCCCTGATTTGCTTACTATGTGGCGAATATGGATGAGCAATTATGATGGGCATCTTATTCCTGGGCCCTTTTCCAAACTTATGCAGTGCTTTCAGATGATTGGTTGGTCAGTCATTGACCCACCGATGGTAGCTGATCATGAAGGTTTGTCATGGAACTTGATGTATCTGGACAATAAAACCCTGAACACTGTTTTGGAAGATGCCTGGCTTCAGTACGTTGCAGCGGGTGTTCGTCACAAGACGATGTCTGATTTGCGGGGCATGGATGGTTTCCTTACGAAGTTGGGCAGCACTAAGCTGTCTACTCTGGATAGAGCACGTCTTGCAGCTCTGCACTCAGGAGCATTTATCAGCAGATATGAACACTCCAAGTATGACACTGAAAAAACACCAATGTGTGCACTTTGTCAACTGGAAGATGATCGTTTGCACTGGCTTGTCTGCCCGCGGTTCCATCACATTCGTTGCTCTATTCCGGACTGGTGCCCCGATAATGTGGAGCTGCCCAGATGCACTTTGCAGCATCTACTGGTCCCACGGCAGGACGTGATGACTGAGTGGCGAGCGCTCTTGAGTGCACCGGAGGAAGATGGCATATCTTTTTTTGTTCCTGCCCCCACAACTGGTTTCCAACACTTGTTTTTAGATGGTTCTTGTATTCAAGATTTGTTTCCTGTGCTGAATAGGGCTGCATGGGGTGTTGTTAGTGCCACAATGGAACAAGTGGTTGCCATGAGCCACCTAAAAGGGGTCACACAAACCATAGACAGAGCCGAGCTGACTGCGCTGATTGCAGCGCTTCACTGGACTTCTGGCACTGAATTGGAGGTATGCCTTTGGTCAGACTCTCAATCCACGATAGCGGTGGCTGAGTTTATTCAACGGCATCACATGCTACCGGATGGGGTAGAGAATGCGGATCTTTGGGTTCAAGTTCTTGACCTTTTACAAGACAGGGGCACACTATTCACTGGTTTTCGCTGGATTCCTTCACATCTCCCTGCGGAGGTTGCCGAGGACTCTTTTGAGGAATGGGTCATCAAGTGGAATGATGCAGCAGACAGGCTTGCAGTGTTTGCCAATACTGCTCGTCCTCTGGAACAACGCCATTGTCTTGTTCGGGCACAGGCGATTCTTTCTGGTTGGGCCAAGAGGCTCAGACAACTGCAGCAGTTTTACTTCCAGGTGGCAGAATTCACAGGAGATGAAGAGGCGTTACCAGACCATGTTAGTGTTGTTTCCTCCGAATCTGAAAATGATGGGCTCTGGTTCTCATGGGCAGACTCACTACCCATCAACTGGAAGGTACAATGTCAGCATGGTGGCAAGAAGGTGCCAGGAGACTTTTTGGTCTCTGCCGTGGAGTGGGTTTGCGCTGCTGAAAGACTTGAAGGAACCGTCAGAGAAATCAACGAAGTTGAATTAGTTTTTGATTCAAGTTCCCCTTCTCAATTGATGGTTCGTTGAAGCTGTGCATGCGTTGTCCAGATTCTTTGTTTCAACAACCAACACTTGCAATGATGCTTAGGCCAGTTCAGTATGCTTTGGCTGAACTGCACAAGCTTTTTCCACATGTTGTGATGCAGACAGTGCCACTGAACCGGGTATCCCTGGGTTTGTACAAGAAATTTGCCGGTCTGAGAATCCATATTCCAGACGATTTGTGGTCACTTGTCCAATCACGTGTACAATCTTTTACAGCTACTAGAGCTGTGCGAAGGGCATGTGACTTGGCTCGCCCGGCCTAAGACAAGGACTTGTTGCGGCCGCACTGCATTGCCGTGCGTCGCAGCACCCAAATCAGTCCGAGCTATATATACATATATGTATCCATGATGGCGGCAACATGGATATTTTTGGTGTATAAATTCTACTATACTCTACATGTCAAACCTATAGTTGATGTTGGTTTACCAATATGAATACCATCCATGCATGTTTCCTATATCTCCTAGTCCTGCTGTGGACTTGTAGTTACCCAATCTTCCCCATCCCACTAGCTTACCGAAAATGACAAATCAGGATATGGATAAAGGGGTCCCCCTTATTTCGGAACCCCATATCATTGAACTTCATAACTCAAATCAAATGTTTACACAATAAAACTAATCCACATAGTCAACTTCATAAACTCATCAAATAACACCAAAATCAACGTTTTGTGGTCTCTGAATTTGTGAAACCCGGTTGTGTATCCCATGGAATATCCCGCCAAAATACTGCCACACACAATTTCCAGTTTTTTGGCACCCCATCACTTTATTGGCTAAATACATCCGTATCACGGTTGAATCCCTATTTGCAATGCTTAAATCCCACATTCAAAAGTGAATGAAGACATTTCCAAAGTATATGCCAGTGAGTACAGTAAATTCTAATATATCTCGCATAACATGTAACCGTTAATTGTGGTTTATACCACCATGTTTTCTATTATCATCAAATCATATTGAACCATTTTCTGTTAAACTCCCCTGCAGACAATTATTTCCTTGGTTATACCGTTATACCTTGAAGTTATACCATCATTTTTGTTAGCTAAAATTCTGTATTTTTCATGCTTCCATCATAAATAACATATACATATATAATATAATATATAATATTATAATACATATATATATATATCCAATTCTATCACATTCTATCCACATTAAAACACCAGGGGCCCTTCAACGTCGCCCAGGTGCAACACGCTTTTGGTGAAGCGCTCGGGCAGTTGATGCACCGCATCCGACAGAGCGAAGTGAAAGACTTGGCAGCGACGCCTAGGCGTCGGGATCGGATCCCAGCTGTGTTTCCCATGATTGTCCGGTAAAATCAGCTGATGATCCTAGACATCTCTAAATTCCGGCAATTTCCCCTATTTATATCTATTTTCCCATCAATTTATCGTGATTTCCATAGTGATGAGATTTCTATTCATGATGATCATCTAGAAATTCATGGTGATTTCCCCTATTTTCCCATCAACCCCCGGTCAGTCATGGAAGGCCCAACGCCAAGGCGCTGCACCAGAGTTGTAGCCACACCCAAGATGCTGCAGCCCACGGTGAACCAGAGCTGCGTGTCGGCACAAAAGATAAAAAGGCTGGAAAACCACAGCCATGTCCTGAGCTGAAAGATCGAATGGAGGACTAAAATGTAGGCAAACTAAAGGAATAAACATCCGGAGGACTAACTATAGCTAAAATGGACGATGATTTCAACTGAACAAATAGACTGCTAGTCCTTGTTTGATCACGGCAAAAACAATCGATAAGCATGGAGGACTAACAAACGGAGGATGAACTAGCTGAAATCGAGGACGAACCGGCAAGAATGCATTTTTTTATGGCTAAAATGATGACTTTAACTGATTTAAGTTTAAGCATTAAACCATGACGACTAACATTGCATATTTTAGATCAGTAGACTTAACGATGACTCCTTGATCAAGGCACAACGGGGCATAAATGACAACATGGCGAAAACGATGCTATAACCACTTGTAAAACTAGTCTCGTTTGGCAAAACAGAGAATTACTTGGCTAACATTTTTAAAATAAGTGTGTGTTATAGTTATATAATGTGAACAAATTGATCCTTGTTCTGGATGTAGTTATTGAGCTGTGATACCCGTTATGCTGGTAGCTTCGGACAGCGTTACGGCATTGCAAGCGGAGCTCGGACTTTTCCTCGCGCAGGGACTTGAGCCAGTACGGCGTTTCAATGCACAATCACATATGTACATGATAAGTGTCCTAGCGTTTAGTTCCCTTTGACACCCCCCATGCCCGTGGCATTCTTCGAGCCACGGACACGAGAGAGGGAACTTTGAATTAGATTTGTTCTGCTACTTGAATTACGCCTATTTACATAAAACGTGCCATTCGGATCCCCCTTCCCCACATACCCGTCGGGTATAATGGTTCAGGGTTCACCTACTCTTTGGCTGTCGATGCATCGGCGCTTCCTCAAGCTATACAACGCGAATTATTGCTAGCTAACATCTACTTTTCTACGTTGGCTAAGCATGCCACTCACCCGTCGGGAGAAATGGATCGCCTCGCTACCAAAGATTTACAGTGCTAACTAACGAATTCACGTGCACAATGCAGAATCTCGTGCAGATTGGGAATATCAAAAGTCTTGAACCTAAGCGAATTAGTCTAATGCCTCGCTCAGTGTCCACTCAGTTGGTCTTTTCCTGATCATCTGTTCATAAAGACGGTAAGCATCTTGTAGCCCAGTGATCATTTTGATGGATCGAAGCAATTGGTTTACTGCTCACGGCGGACTTTCTTCCATTGAGGTGCTGTTGGAGTTCTCTCCCATCCTGCCGCACGTTTCGGAGCAGCTTTCGGCGATGAAGGCTTTGCAGGCGGTGCCTTTAATGGTTCATGGGATTTCGGCATAGCCTTGCCCTTTGGTGCGCTAGCCGATGAGGATGATGCTGAACCAGTGCCTTCAGGTGTCTGTGAAGGTTGTGCGGGTGGTTTAGCAAACTTGGAAGCTGCAGTATGTCCAACCGCTTTGAATACTTCACTCACCACTTCGTCGCCAAGGGTTGGAGCCATCTTCGTTTTCATCTCGGTCTTTCCCCTCTGCGCCTCGGCCTCGGCCAGCTGAATAGCATAAGCCATCTTGCTGACAAAGTTTTGAGGTAAAGGAATGCCACATTGTTGGGCGGCAAAGAGCAGTTCTACTCTCTGTTCTTTCTCCCTCAGGCTCAGATATACCGAGAAAGCTGGGAGTTCGATGCAGTTGGGGAAGCCGTGGCTCCCGGAGCGAAAGAAGGTGTATGACTCGTGCTCCGGAAAGGTTCCTTTGAGCAGTCGTCGAAGGAAGTTGCTGATGGTTACTCGCATCTCCTGTTTCCCTTGGGCATCAGCCTGCATTCGGTTCATTGGCATGAGAAAGCCTAATGACTCAGGAGTGTACCCAGCGCGTACCAGAAATTCCATCATCTTCTCATAGATCTCTAAAGTCTTGATGACAGGCATCATCATGTTTCTTGGTCGCCCTGAGTATAACTTCTCTCCTTCTGACCATGAATTCCTCTTCCCTTTCTGCTGAAAGAGTTCATCCAATTCCAGCTCCGTCGGTCGCTTGAGGTTGCCATCCTGGTCTTCTCCTGTATAAGGACAGAAGTCGTCCAGGTCCAGCCGGACTCGCTTGGTTTCCGTCATCATCTCATAGTACTCCTCTGGGGTCAGAGTGACTCTCTGCTTGTAGTAGAGCCTGAACATTGTGATGATCTTTGACATGACGGCATTGTCATACAAGTGAGCCGCGGCCTCGGAGACATCATTGTTGATAAGTCCGTCTTCTGGCATACCCTTGCTGCCGCTCTCGAGGTTCTTGGTCCATTCTGGAAGTTTGGAAGAGGATTCATCTTCAGGTTCGACTTCCATTTCATCGTCGTCTTCTTCAACGATTTCGTCGTCTTCCTGTTGGGCTTCCTCCTCCTGATCCATTTCCTCATCATCGCCTTCGTTGTAGTCGACCTCGTCAGGATTGAAGCCATAGTCGTTGGATTCGGATACGTTTTCTTGTGCTTGATGGACCGTATCCTTGAACAACGATTCTTCTTGTCGACGAACTTCTTCATCGATCTCTTTCTTCGTGGCCTCATCTTCATCGTCTTCAGGAGCTTGTAGCCGATAGGGACGGATTCCACAACTTTCAAGTTCCGTCCAGCAAACTAGACACACTGCTAGTTTTGTCGGCGTCTCATTGAGACAGTGAGGACAATGGCGGCAACCTGATGTTTGCACCCTTTTGCGTTCGACTATGTAGTCAATCAGCTTGATGCGGGCCAGGTATTGCTCTTGTCCGCCAGGCTTGATGAGGTCGTTCTTGAATTGGTTGACGATGTTCATGGCATCCATGGCGGTTTCGTCAAACGGTTGATCTTCGGCGTCGATGCACTGACTTGCAACCCTCAAGATGGACTCCTTGGTGGCTACCGTTCTTGATTTGACAGTTCCAGACCGGACTACCTGGTCGTCGCCCGACGGGACGAACAACCGGAGCCATGTCTTATTGTTTTGGTCCTTTGGGTCCTGAATCCATCCTCCTTTGATTGCCGAGAACGGGATGATCTTTGGTGAGACGATCTGTCCCGAGTCAGTCAGTCGACCGCCATATTCCACCATCAAGGTCTCGGTCGGGATGAACAAGCAAATGTAGTCCCCCTTTCGCGTATCAACGCTCTTCGTGATGGTCCATGATCTGTGATCCCATGGCACATACGGGTTGAAGAACGTGAACATCCGATGACCTTCTCCAAGACCTCCTGGAATTAATCCCTGCCTCCAAATGCTTCGAAGGTTGGTCTTCTTGGTGATGTGGAAACAAACCGGTAACGACAAAATGGTGTTGGGCGCGATTGGATGTGAAAGTAATGAGGACAGCAATGAGACGTCGTCCCTTGAAGATCCTTCTTTGTGCCCCGTAGGAGCACGGACCGCCACAGGGTAGAGCAGTAGACCTTCATCAGGAATGTTGGTGTCCGCATCGACTTTGTTGTCAATGCACGTCAGGCTGGTGCGCTCAATGTCCTTGTTGATACCAAATGCCAAGACTTGTTCACGAACGCGACGTCCATACCGGGCACAGTGGAACATGATCTTGAAGAGCAATGTCATGCGGTAGTTTGCCTCATCGACATTCCATGCACTCTGATCATTTGCTCTTCCTTTTGGAGCAAGGAATACATGTGGCCAGCGTGCGTACTCGTGCCTCCAGATGGACTCACATTTGAGCACCTCCTCGATGGGCACCCAGCCGGCGTCATCACATGACAGACTCTGTTGTTCTGATACCTTCCCCACGTTGTGCCGCAGGATCCTGTTTAGTGATGAACTCACCTTGTCCTCGTAGGTATTGAGCCGGTTGCCAGTCTCGAAGCGGTAGTTGGCCGCATATTCTACACCTCCAAAGTAAGAGCAGTTGAAGAAATGGGCCCCCGTAGTCGGGATGATTTTCAAGAAACCATCTTGCGGCGCCTCGACTCTCTTGTAGAAGGGCTTCCTGATGTTGTTATCAGAGTAGCTTGCCATGAAGTCTGGCACTGACCAAGAGTCACCTCCTCCTCTGACAATAGCGTCTCTGACCACTTCGTTGAGGTCATTAATGTTCTGTGGTCCTAGCTTTGTAACATCACGTCCTTCTATGCAGAATCTACCATACTCATCGAGGTCACCAACTTCAGACATAGTTCTGATGCTGTCGTACCATTGGTGTTCACTAAACCTCGATTTTGTAGGTTCATCCGTTTGCCCCGACCCATCAGTAGCACCTGAACCGTCCTTCTTGTGCTCAGGAGGCTCCATATCGACGTCATCAGATGTTGGACTATCAGCCTCGAGCGACGCTCGGACGGCCTTTAGCACCTTTCTGACTTCATCCCTCTTCTCATGTTCACATTCAAGATGGCCATGTTGGGTGCTACCACAATACAAGCACACGTTGACATCCTCAGAGACGGTGAAGAGTTTTCCCAACGCATCCAAAAGTTGTTGTTTCCCGGAATTCTCTGAGTCCCTGACCACATCGGTGGGGTCGTTCGCTGGCTCATCAGCTTCCTCCTCCCCAGGGTGAGCCGACGACTCGTCACCTGGCTTGGCATCGGCATCAGTGCCCATGCTGGCGTCACCCCCTGTGATGTTGTTCTTCCTGCGATAATGAGAGAATACCTGATCCTTCTCCCAGTCCGTGAGGCAGCAGAAATTGGCCAGCGAGTCATATCCGGGGATTGCGTGGATGAGCTTCATGACCCTTTCGGCTTCTGCAGTTTGCAGTGTGCAGTCGAAGGATCCCCGTCTCTTGTCATTGATGGTGCTCGAGGTTCGGGAGGTCGATGTGAATTGAGCCAGTGCCTTTTCCAGTCCATTGAGATACTCAGCTGGATCAACACTAGCATTAAAAACATCCACGACTCCCTTGGCCATATTGGCCACGTCCAAGACACCAAGCCAGAACTCGATGATATCTCCAGTTTTCTCGGCAGATGCACGGGAGAATCCAAAAATCTCGTTCCTCTCCTTCACCTCGGGAACGGCAACCTTTTCGAAGAAGTCTTTGTATGCGACATTTCCGCAATCCTTTGTGACTCTATAGATCAAA